CGGGCCGCGCTCCTCCGCTCGGGACCCGAGGCGGGAACCCTGCAGGAGGTGGTTTGAACTCGCGGCTACCACGCTCGCAGGACCGGGCTCTGGTCATGTGGGGGCAACGGGAGGAAATCGGCCGCAGAACCTCCCGCGGACGCTCGGAGCCCGAGGAGCTGCCCCGCTCCTTCCCTCACGCCGGGTCTTCCCCACCTTCCACCACGGACTCACCTTCTTTCTTAAGCGCCACGGGCGGCTGCGTCTCCTCTTTCTTGTCAGCCACGCCGGCGTTGGACGGCAGCGGGTTCTTGCGTTCTTTCTGGGACTCTTTACGCAGCTGTTTGCCTGCCGCATTGGAGTTGGTCTGGGCTGCGGCCTGAGCTGCGCTCTTAGCCCCAGGGCCCCCAACACCGCCCCCGCCGGCTTCTTTTTTCTTGTTCTCTGCTGCCTTCAACACCTCGAAGGGGTCCGATTCGTCGTCAAATAACTGGTCGAATCGGTTGGTGACCACGCAGCCGAAGCCTTCCTGTAAATGCCCAGGCATGATGGTGGCTCGGCGGCGCGTTCCTCCACGGATTGCAGCGGGCCGCGCCGAGCCAAGAGCGCCTGCTTCAGCTCTTCCCACAAGATGGCCGGGCCGAGAGAGGGGGGCCGTCTTCTCTTCCGGTGCCAGGCACACATCCGGGAGCGGCCGGCGCCGCAGGGCACTGTGGGGTATGTAGGCCAAAGTCGCTTTTACCGAGACGGCTCCCGACACCGGGACTACAATTCCCGGAATGCACAGCGCGACAACTCTTCGCGCGCGCCTGGGAGGCCGGACTTCAGGGAGGGAGTGGAGCTTGCGAGGTGAGGGAGGGGAAATGCGGCGATGGGCGGAGTCCTGCCACCTGCTCTCGCCACCCTTAAACTCTCGAGTCTCGAGCTGTGCTGAAAACAGGAAAACGTGTCGGCGTGTTTTGCTCCCGAAAGTATTCTATCTTTGGTTTTACTCCCCCAGTCTCCGGCCCAAGGCGTTATAACTTTCTCCACCTCTCCGGGAGGGTCAAGGTGACTCGCAGATCTTACAACTGGAGACTCGCAAACTTCCGGGGCCGGGGGGGATTGCTGCGGTGCCTCGCCGGCCTCACCCAGACAGGACCCGACCTGTTTCAGGTCAAGTCCCTCGCTGCACAGTTGCTGGAGTCGCCCTCCTGTATCCCTAACAATGAATCGACAGTGTTTAACGTGACGCAGAATACTCGCAGGGACGTGAACTTGGAGAGGAGAATTATTAAAAGGACAACCATCACGTGGGAGTGTTGCGCGCCTTTCCTGGGTGAGAAATACGGTTTTGCGAGGGATGCTGTCATTACTGTTAACTCCTTACAGGGCAGCAAAAGCTAGACACCCGGGCAAGCCTCGAAAAGGCACTGTTTGCAGAAACACTTTGTAGAGTCAATCCAGTTGTCCACGAGTGTCCAGCAAGCCAAGGATTAGGTGTTCGTAAAAGGTGCTCAAGAAATAACATTTTAGAGCATCTGAGCGTGCGGTGTGCTGAGAGGTACAATGAGGAGAGGAAAATGTCAGCGACTGGTCACACTTACAGCATTCGTATTAGTTGAGACTATTGACAGTCTGTTAAGGTAACTGAGTGTCAATGCCTACTCAAGCATATTTGGTAACATTGTAAGTGTTTAAGTATATCATCATAGTTTTTACACTTTTTTCCATTAACACAAAATATAATAGAAAATGCACCTCTATGTCGCAGGTACTGTGAATAACCTTCACCGGGACAGCTTTTTAGGTAGGTGCTTTTCCCTTTTCACTGATGGTGAAACCATTTCAGAGGTGAAATGGCTTATCAAGTTCACACCTCTGTTTAAATGCCGGGAATTAATGCTGGCTTCTAACTTCGAGAGGAGACTGTTGACATCAACTCCTTCATCCAAACTCTGCCTTCTGATAGAAGTCAGTCCATTCTTAATTTCCAGTGTTTGTAAGACTTAAATATTGTTGGCACATCAGGCAAAGTATGTAGCGTGGCTGAATGTGATCTTCCTAATTTCTGAGCAGATTTTAAATCAGTTCCCTACCAGAGAAAATAAAAGACAGAGTCACATTACAGGCATGTGGCAGCAAGCCTGGTGGTTTCTTCTCTAAATCCAGCCCCCACTCCTCAAAGTCACCTATTTCTCTGCTGCCTCAGTCCCTGCCACACACACTCCCTTTTCACACACACACCCCCCCCCACGCCCTTCTACAAGCTCTGGCTCTTGTGGATCCTACCAAGATAAAAGACAAGGAGTTTTTGACCACATTCTTCAAGCACCTTTGAAAGTAGCTTAAGTGCAATTTGGAAGATCTCCATGCTTTAAAAACATTTTCTATTTACCAAGGGTTAGCTGCATCTTTGAGATATATGCTACAACTTACCTCTTTCTGGCCACTGCCACAATATTAAGAGCTAAAACTTGATGTTTCACTATGTGCTTGGTGTACTTTACATGTGTGATCTCACTTCATCCTCACATCAACTCATTCATTTCTAAGGTGAGGAAAATGAAGGGACTAAGTAACTTACCTACTTCTGCCATAGTCTGGGGAGTGGGGCTGGCCTGTTCGTAGTCATTTTTATCCTATGTACAGATCCCTGGTTTCTTCAAATAGATTTTTATGACCACCAAGCACTATTACAATAAGAATATTTAAAGATAAGCTACACATAGAGGAATTGTATGGCTATGAATTTATGAGGTTCACTTAATGCTCTTTAGAGAATTTACCTATTAATATAGCATAAAAATATGAGTAAAATTTGGAGGAAGAGGGAAAAACTTGTAAGCACTTTCAAATTTCTTCTCTCCCTTTCTTCTTTCCTGGAATTTTGGTTAATCCAGGAAATTTTTAAAGTATACAAATAAAGCTCAAAATGGTAATTCTTTTACATCTCAAATCAATCATCTATAATAATAGAAGTGTAATATGCAAATTGACCAAACGGCTGAACAGTGGAACCATCGTTCGGATGACCTTCTGGACGAAGCCGGGGCTGCGAGGGCTTATTCTTGCACAAATTTCGTGCATCAGGCCTCTAATTATCTTACAAGAAACTATTTTCACTAAAGTTTCCATTCTGCTAAAAAGTTAAAATAGTTTTTAAAAATATTTAAATGTCCCTGCTACTTTCATTAGAAAATAATATTGCTGAATAAACCTGAGGGAGGAAGAAAGGAGACTTCATGGCAGACTGTTATTCAAATCAAAGGCATGCATTGTAAAATGACAAGTTATACCACTGAGGAGAAATGTAGCAAGCTCTCTTTAGCAGGCTTAAATCACATACTGTTTTCTGAAAAATACACTTCACAGTCTTTACCTATAGCATGCTCTCAAAACAGTAAATGCTGAATACTATCCAAATATCTTGATTAAATATCCAATATGTTTGCTTAATGGTTATGAAACTGAGCAACAATATTATACCTCCTTGCAACCCTCACTTCCCTTTAGGATGTTAATACTCAGTTTTCAACCACATTACAACTTCTTTTCACCCATTTCTTAATAATCTCAATCCTCCCATTACTGTTACTATATCCTATCTAATAATAGACAAACATGGTAGTTGACCGTACCTTTGCTATGCCTCACATTGGCTAATCAGCGTGATATGCAAATTAACTGCCAACAAAGATGGCGGCTAATTTGCATACTGCAGGCAGGGTGG